GGTCTCATATGATCAATGGTGGAGCGAGAGTTTTTTTTTTCCAATGGGAGCCTAATTTTTTTTTTTTTTATAAACTTTCCCTTAACTTTTTCCATTCGGGTTTAGACCAGCATAAACAATTTTATAGCAAAAAAGATGAACACACACTAGTCATTATTAATTTGTTCAAATTTACAAATCATTTGTTACCAATTATGGGCTTATAAAAATACATGCCATATCTGAATTCTACTGCATTAGGGCATTTCCACAAGCACTTGAAGTGCAGAAGACTTCTTCTTGTTGAACATCCATGGTTGAATTCATGGATTTCATACACCTGTTTGATGATTTCCCAAAATCACAAACATCCACTACAAAATTCTCAATCATACCAGCCTGATCATTTAAGGGAATATCCACGCCCACACATGGGACATTTGGGATTGAAACACTAATCTGCTTGTGAAGTTCCAGAGCTTGATCCTTTATGAAATCGGGATTCACCTCCAGCTTGCTGTCCAAATTAGCGCCACAATCGGACATAGGATCAGATCCATCAGTTTTGGGTGCCGTTCATAGCCGAAATTTCGCTCTACCTCTGACCTATCATCACACGAACTGCTGTGTACAGACTTTTGGGCATCCCAATTGGGCTCCAAAGTAGCCATAACATCATATGCGCTGCTGCTACTACCTCAAAAGTATTTCAATCGGAAGATTCACGAATCGGAGTGTCTGATTCCTGCTGGGAATCACAGCCAGCAAAAAATACTTGTCATATTATAGTAGACATCATTATGTGTGTGTGTGTGGGGGTGGGGAGGTTTATAATCTTCTTGTTAAAATCTTAATATAAGTGATCCTGAAATTAACATAAAATATTTTAATTTCAAAATTTTTAAGATTCGTGCTGATCAACTCCAGTCAGAAAGAATATTTTATAAATCATATGAAACATTACACGTGATCAAATAAACATCTAACAAGCATGTTAATGTTTTTTAATTGCCGATAAATTGAGGTATTTTTAGGGAGCCTCTCCAGCTTGCGATAGTAGTTACAGCGGTCATTAGAACGCCAGGCGCACGTCAGCTTTACGATTCCCGCTCGGGTCAGTTGCTCGATGTAGGGTTAGGTGAGGTCTTCAGTCTTCTCGGGTTGGTGAATTGTATATATTTATAGGTTCTTAGGACTCTCATTCCCTCCTAGCTAACTTAGCAGTAGTTGGAGGAAGTCAGTGTCACGAATGCATATGTTGGTGTCGTCTCGTGGGGCCCACTGAATATGAAAAATATAATTCCGATTAAAATTTTTACAGATTTTTTTTTTTGAAAAATTTTGGGGAATTACAGATTTTTTAACTAAATTCTAAAGATATAAATAATATGAAGAATTAAATACATAACACTCAATATATATATAATTATGATTTTTTTTATCACCATATTTATAAATTTTTGTACTCTACAATTAAATCAATAAGAATTTGATACAAAATAAAAATATATGCTGATGACATTGTTATGAATTCTCATTTTTAAATGAGGATAAAAAATTTTATATATATATATATATAGGAGAGAGAGAAAGGGGAGGGCGCGGGGAAAGGATCAAAATAGGTCTTAATAATATTAAAGTATTATTTTGACCACTTAATTCTTTAAAGAGTAATCAAAATAGTCTCGTATTTTGATTTCTTTTTAAAGATTTTAGGCACAAAAATAATCTTTTAATATAATGGGTATTATTTTGATCCTTCATAAATAATTAATGAACTATTTTGGTTATTCTCTCTCTATGCATAATGTATATAAGTATTATTTTCAAAAATCATTATTTAAAAAATAGTTGCAACTTTTGATTTTTGTACAGTCATGGCTTTTCTGTTCTGTCTTTCTTTTTGGTTAAAAGCCATGTACTGTATTTGTAGATGATTATTTTGAGGATAAGAAAGAAAGAAAAAGATAGATGTTTTGTTCCGCTGTGTTTGATGATTCATAGTAGCTCTGTGTTTGTGTGTCTGTTGAGTTTAATTATTTGGAAGATTCAGTTCAGTAACCAAATTCCAAAGCCAGATCCCGGATAAAAGATTTGGTCGCGGCCTGGTGCGAGCGGGATCCGTCCCGGATCGGGTTGGGTCGTAACAGGTAAGAGGAGAACGATTGAAGTAGTGGAGAGTTCAGTAGTGTCTGGTGCGCCTGCGGGTTAGGATGGTCCCCATCAACATGACTTAGAATTCAACAGATTTAACGTTGCCTGTTCATTTAGAATTCGATTTTCAAACATTTTTATGATATTTACATGTCTTTAATTTATGAGTCATTTATATAATGAATCATTTTTTAGAGTAAAATATTAATACACAAAAATGAAGGTCGTTGTTTGTCTTACTCCATATGGTATTACTCAGTCTTTCAAAAGGAATGGTACATCTTGACCATCTATAATCATCCACTGATGGAGATATTATAATAAAGTTTTAAGAGTTGTTGAAGTAGTGTTGGAAGGTTTAGAGTTGGAAGGCTAAGAAAAATATGATTAGTTTTGAATTTTTTTATAGATTTGTGATCAGGGGCGGATCTACCTTAAGCCCTGGGGGTCAATTACAAACATATTGTGAGGCATACAATATTGCTCCCAGCATAATTAAACACATTGTGTAGATGTGTTATTGTTAGAGAACGATGCACCAAATACAAAAAATAGTAAAGAGAATTCAAAAATATCTCATGGCATGTCGACCCCCACCAAGGAGCGCAACCTTTTTGGACCCCCGACATATTTGTGAAGCGTACAATGATCAAGTATATGAACAAATAGGAGTTCAACCAAATTCTACACTTTTACTTATAAATTTACCCCCTTGAAAATTAAGGCCGACCCTGTTTGTGAGGAAAATTTTCTTGCAATGGTTGATGAAGGTTTTTTTTATTTTTCTGAAGGAAGCAATTTTTTTTAATGGAGAAGGATTAGGACCTTTAGTTTTTTTTTTTTTTTTGGAAAAATTTGGGGCAAAAGCCCATATATTAAGAAGAAAGAAAATTACAAGTAAAAGGAATTACATGTAAAAAGCCCTTAAAAAGCCAAAAACAAACCAATAAGGGCCAAAAGAAGAAATAAAACCCCAACTATACCACCCATTACAATAACATATCAATTAACATAACCAAAACTGTGGTAGGAGCATCAAAAACAAATTGGGAGACAAGCTGCAGAAGACTGAAGGCGGAAGGAGTCCGATCCGCATCCAGGGAAGAAGAAGGATCCAGAGCCTGCAGCGAAAGAAAAACCCAGCTCCCAAGCCTAAATGAACTGGACTCAGAATAAAAAATAGACACGAAAGGAAATGTGGAACCCTGGTTGCCCGAAGACCGTCCAAGGGCCCTGCTAATGGGAGCGTCATCATCGTCCAATTCGGCTTAGCAGGTAAAGAGAAAGGACGGAGGGGCTCGGAAATGCCACAATAGTGGATACTTCTCAGCAAAAAGAACCATGAACCACCCTTCAATCTCAGATTCAAAATCTGTAAGATGATATAACAAAGCAGGAATCTCCAAAAACAGAGCAGGCAATAATGCCCACCCACCCCACAAACGAGGGACAGAAGGCAATCAAAATTAACCAGAAATGCCAAAACGCCTGTTGAGATCATCAAAATGTTTCCAGGTTTTCACTTTAGCAAAAACAGCTCTCCGGATAATGCTACAGAGCTAAGTGGGGTTGTTCCAAACATTTTCAAATTTTCTAGAATTCCTTTCTTTCCATAAGTAGTAAATAGAGCTGCAAATGGTCAGATAGCAAAAATTCTTCTCCCCAGGACTGTAACTTTGTGAATCATCAAAAAATTCAAAGGCCTACAACAAGTTTGGCCTAAGGAGGAAGACATCCAGATTTGGTAGCAGGGAAACAATCACCGAATATGAGTAGTCACAGGCAAAAAACAAGTGAGAATGATTTTCACACACATCCGAACAAAATACACAATTGGGAAGTACATTAATCCCTCTCAAAATAAGTAAATCAGCCATTTTCAGCTTGCCCAGCAACGCCATCTAGGAGTATGAGGAAAAACGGAGGGACTTCCTTTTATGCCATATGAATTTGTGCCAGCTAACCTCCTCAAGATTAGAGAAATAATTGGAATAAAAGCTATAGAAAGAAGTTTTATCAGAGCCATCCCAAAACACAACCGAATGCTCACCAATATTGATTCCAAAAATCTCATTTCTTAAGGTAAAAGGAGTATTGGGAGGAAGAGACCAGCAGTTGTTAGAAGAGTAAAAGTTTACAAAAGAATTCATGAACCTAAAGGTAGGCATAATGTCATGAAGAGATCTCCCATTACACCAATGATCCCACTCCATAGAAAAATTACAATTGTAAGAGACAGAGAATGAGAATTTATCTTTCACCAACAGGGCTGTGGCATAAATTCTCTTCCATAATTTAGATGCAGTAGAGCTAAGCGGCTTCCAAGGAGAAATATATTTGTTTCTAAACCAAGCCGTAGTTAAATTATCCATAGTAAAAAACCTCCACAAGAAAGAGCAACAGTTGGCATGATACAGTGCCTCAATGGAGGGAATACCCAGTCCACCAAATCTGGTAGGTAAAGCAGTTTTACCCCAGACAATTAAGTGAAGTTTTCTCTCATTAATCCTGCCATGAAATAAGAATCTGGAGCAAAGCTTGGCAAAGAGTTTACAGCAATGTTTGGGTATGATAGAGCCCCTTATTCAATACGCGAGAGTATTAGCAATCGTGAATTTAATGAATAAAATGCTAGATAAATAACTGTACCAATCAAAAGCTAATATTAATAAAAAACTGCAAAATAGCTATAGGAGATTTCAATTTTCAAGCTAGTAATTATTGATAAACAATAATGGATGCACGAATTTCCAAAAGCAAAACAAAAATAAAAAACAATGGATGAACGAACACGTGCGCCGTCACGAAGATCAATAAATTTCCCCTCGACAAGCAATCAGAACCGTCCGTTTCTGCCTCCTCCCTCATTAAATACCGCAGGATCTCTCTTCGCCTTCGTCTCGTCCTGCTCTCCGCACTCGATCTCGATTGAAAGAGATCGCCGGAAAGCTTTATCCTCTTTTCTCCGTCGCCATGGCTCCCATAGTGGAGAAAACCTCCTCTGGGCGTGAGTACAAGGTGAAGGACATGTCCCAGGCCGACTTTGGCCGGCTCGAGATCGAGCTCGCCGAGGTCGAGATGCCAGGTCTAATGGCTTGTCGCGCCGAATTCGGCCCCTCACAGCCATTCAAGGGTGCACGAATCTCCGGTTCCCTCCACATGACCATCCAGACCGCCGTCTTAATCGAAACATTGACCGCTCTCGGCGCCGAGGTCCGCTGGTGCTCTTGCAACATTTTCTCTACCCAGGACCACGCTGCCGCTGCCATCGCGAGGGACTCTGCTGCTGTGTTCGCCTGGAAGGGCGAGACACTTCAGGAGTACTGGTGGTGCACCGAGCGCTGCCTCGAGTGGGGCGCCGGAGGTGGCCCCGATCTCATCGTGGACGACGGCGGCGATGCGACTCTGCTCATACACGAGGGTGTCAAGGCGGAGGAGGAGTACGAGAAGACTGGGAAGTTACCGGATCCAGCATCCACCGACAACGCCGAATTCCAGCTCGTTTTGGGGCTTATTAGGGACAGCATCAAGGTGGATCCCAAAAAGTACTCGAAGATGAAGGAGAGGCTGGTTGGTGTCTCAGAGGAAACAACCACCGGAGTGAAAAGGCTGTACCAGATGCAGATCAGTGGGTCGTTGCTCTTCCCAGCCATTAACGTTAATGACTCCGTGACCAAGAGCAAGGTGAGATTTGCTTACCGTTTTTTCCAATGGATCTCCATCTATATTTTTGGTTCTTTTGAATCGTGTTCTGAGTTCAAATCATGTGTGTTTCATGTACGATCTTTGTTTATGTATTTACACATATTTGCTCAGCTAACAAGTCTTTCTAGGTGTATCTGTTTAACATAGAAGATGACTTGGCACTGATACTTTTAGTCTTCTTTGCCTGAATCTCTTGAGCAAGCATTTAGCTCCTAACATATGCAATTTACTGGGCTCTTGTCACGTCCACTGGTTCAGCTAAAAATTACATTTCAGCTTTTGGTTATGACCAGAGGGATCGCGTTTCACATGAATGTTTAGGCATCTTAGGAACTACAATTGGGGATTCTGGAGTTATATTTCAGCTTACCACCCGTTTTTTACTTCAAATGTGATAGCAGATTTGCAATGCCATGTAGATGACATTGCTTGTTTTCAATGTTTCAAAGCTTTAAAAAGATCCGACTACGTAGTCTATAACAGCTTAGGATTTTTGGATCTGGAATTTTTGTAGCCTTTAACAACTTAGGATATCTGTAGATCTGTTTTCGATTAAGAAAGATTGAGAATTGCTAAACTTATTGTGGTTTGCATGTAGATTTGTTGTAGACGGCTTTGATTTTTACTATTAGAATTGATTTGAAACATCATTTAGTGGAGCTTTTGCGGGTTCTTTCATGAGCGAGATTTTGTCTTTGTCAAAAGCTTTACTCAGGACTAGTTATGGTGAACTCAAAAGCTTCTGAGACTTTTCCAAGTCCATCCTTGTGACTGTGAATCTCTTCATCTGTATTCAAAATCCAATCTTCATGGTTGCCCATATAAAACCTTATTTTTTTCCTTTAACAGTTTGATAACCTGTATGGTTGCCGCCACTCTCTTCCTGATGGCTTGATGAGGGCCACCGACGTTATGCTCGCTGGAAAGGTCGCCGTGGTCTGTGGCTATGGAGATGTTGGAAAGGGCTGCGCTGCGGCTCTCAAGTCTGCCGGAGCTCGTGTCATCGTGACCGAGATCGATCCCATTTGCGCTCTCCAGGCCCTGATGGAAGGTATCCCTGTCCTCACCCTTGAAGATGTTGTGGCCGACTCCGACATCTTTGTGACCACAACTGGTAACAAGGACATCATCATGGTGGACCACATGAAGAAGATGAAAAACAATGCCATTGTTTGCAACATCGGCCACTTCGACAATGAGATCGACATGCTAGGCCTCGAGGCCTTACCAGGCATCAAGCGCATTACCATTAAACCGCAGACGGATCGATGGGTCTTCCCTGATACCAATAAGGGCATCATCGTCCTCGCCGAGGGCCGTCTCATGAACCTCGGATGCGCAACCGGTCATCCCAGCTTCGTCATGTCCTGTTCCTTCACCAACCAGGTATGTTCTGGGTTTTCCAATCCGCACTAATGAGCTTCATTGCATATCTTTCAATTGCTGATGAAATCCGAAATGTTATGCAGGTGATTGCTCAGCTGGAGCTGTGGAATGAAAGGTCTTCTGGCAAGTATGAGAAGAAGGTTTATGTGCTGCCGAAGCACCTGGATGAGAAGGTTGCATTGCTCCACCTGGGAAAGCTCGGGGCTAAGCTCACCAAGCTCAGCCCAGCACAGGCTGAGTACATCAGTGTCCCTGTTGAGGGTCCATACAAACCTCCTCACTACAGGTACTAAGATAAGTATCAAGCTATAATAATGGCACCTGATGCTGAATATTGAAGATCTTCTCGGTCTTCTTTAGCATATCGTCTTTATCATATTTCTATTGGGCAATGGTTGAGGCATATTTTGTGAGTGTAACGAGGTGTTGTAAGGTGCTGCTTATACTGTATTTGTGCCTAACCATATGCAGGGAGTATTTGTATCCAAGTTTTGTTGTAAGCTTTGCTTGTGCTAGCTGGTAAGGGATGGTTTTCTTACTGCGTCATAAAGAAAAAAAAAAGTTTTTTATTATGAAATTTTTAATTTTTAAACTAGAAAGCTGCTTAAAGAAGCAAAATAAAACCACCCCAAACGAAGCCTAATTTATTTCACTATGTGGATTGATTGCATGAATCCTTTTTCGTCATTGTGTTTTATTAAGAATTAAATTTTCATATAAATCTAATAAAGAAAATGTCATTTCTAATAATTTTTAATCAATTTTTTTATGACTATATCTACTTTTCTTAATATAAGCTAATCTAATACATTTATGGATCATCAGAAAGTTGTCATTTTATGAAAGTCTTTAGGTCTAACTCAATTTATAAACAAGTGATTAAAATTCTTAATCTTTGCATTATTACAATTGTTAAGATTTTATCTTTTTTCTTCAAATCCTATGAGTTTCCTTAATTTCAATATTACTAGATAGTTTTTTTTAAAGTATTTTAAATTCCTCATCATTTCAGCCTGAGAGAATGGGGTTTAAGCCACACAAACCATTTCTAAGCAACCTTAGACAAATGATCATATATGCAGTTTTTAGCATAGTAAGTCAAAAATAGTCTTCTTTATTCCAAAGAAATTTGTCATTGCCAGCATAAATGGCAATGCCAATAATCCTATCCTAGCAACCTGCAACACCGTTCAAACTCCACTAGGTATATCTTTGTCATTGAAAAGATATTTGACAAACCTCTTCAAATGAATAACACGAAAGATGACACATACATATTATGATGCACTTCTATCATGATTGATATGTATGTATCGAAACAAAATGCTAATAAATCGAGGATGGGATCACTAGCACTGTACTTTTTTATCATTTTATTTTTATGGAGCAGAGTTCCATATAACCCTTGAAATTATATAAATAAAAGGTATAAAAACACATTTTTTATCTTTTGGATATCTCATTTTTTGCAAGAATTTGAGCATAATTTGTACTCTCATCTCTGTCTCTCTCACCAAGTGATACAAGTGCACTGATTTTGTTTTTTAGAAGGGGCACGTGCCCCCCCCCCCCCCTTGAACAGCGAACCCCCCCCCCCCCCCCCTTGAACAGCGAAAAAATCCAAAAACTATAACATAAAAGCAGATAGTTCATCTCAACGATCATGTCCAAAGAGGAAAAAAACATAGAGTAGTCGAATATATATGCTAATAAGGTCCCAACAACAATTCAATGAAGAAAACAAGCAAGAAACAAATGTCGGCCTAGTAAATGAGATAGTGAAGAGCAGCAGAGAAGACTAAAGGCTTTGTTTTGTGATAATTTTGTTCTTACTTTTTAAAGTAATTTTTCAGTGCAAAAAGTTATTAAACTCGAAATCTTTGTACTAAAAAACTGTTTTAGAAAATAACAAAAAAGTTGTCCCAAACGAAGCCTAGATAGATCCATTAAAAATAATAAATACTTCCAGTACCACCAGTGCATAAGAAATAAAAGCCGAAAAAATAAACCAACATACAAATAGCAAAAAATTCAGAAGCAATTTGTGGATCCAAGAATTGAAAATAGAAGAAAAATAGAATAACACAAAAAAGAAGAATGAAGAGAACAAAAAGGTACTCCGTTACTTATAATCAAGTGTAGAATATAAACAAGACACTAAAAAGAGCACATCCAGGTTTTCAAAAAGCAACCCTGCCGAACCCACTTATCATTGTCCCACATGGATAGAAATCCAGCAGAGCCTGCACACAAAGCCAACCGAAAGCAGAAGAAGATGACAGTGACACCACATACAAAACTGTCCATCCAACAAGCCTAGCAGAAATCCACAACAACAAACAAAAATCAGATAAGAAGTTGCCATCCTGAAGTAAATTTCTAAGTAGTAGTGGGGTATTCAAAGAAGTTATGGTTATTATTTTCTTCAACATCAGCACAAAGCGAATAAGCCATTGTAACAATTAATCCCTCTTACTTGAAGTTTGTGAGCAGTTTTGTAGACATTCAGGCAAGTTTTCTATGTACAGAAATATATCTCAAGGAATGTTGTATAAACCATGCATATTTCCTTCAGTGGACTTAGGGTAGATTCTTTTATAATTTTTTTTTTTTTGCCTCAGTCAGCCATTAGCATTTTGATAGGAAATACTTGATTTCAAGTAGTTCCTAATCAAAGTCTGAAGCAAATCGTGATAATTTCTGCTGTTTACAGCAGGAAAACAGTAAATTCTGGACCAAAACAGAGAAAACCTGAGAGGAAAATGGAGAAAAACTCGCCCAAACACTTGTACTTTACTAGTAGATGAAAGAAAACTTGCAAAGATACAAAGATCCTCTATTCGAGAGGAGGATCGCACTCTCCCAATCTCTAGAATTCGTTCTAGAGCCCAAGCCTCCAAAAAAACCCTAATTGCAATCAAACAAAACATCAAAAAACTCCCTAATTCCCTCATCCCCTTTAATACAAGAT